TCGGGGTACGGGAAAAACGGGATTTCCCCCAGGCGGCAATAAGTTCGACGGGACTACTAGTTATTTAATAACCGTTCAATTTGTACTGTTTCATTCACATTCCATTTGAGTTCCAAAAGAAATGACAGCATAATTTATTTGTGTATGAAAATAAATCAAGTGGATTATCGTTAACTTAAAATCCTTGAAAGGGGAAATCTGGTAGAACTCGATTAGCAAAAACATAAGTTTGTATGCAAATTACAACTTGTGATATATCTTAAGTTACTTGAGTGTATTTGTTTATTAATTTACTTAAACGTAACATGGGATAATTGCCCAACGTTCCAAGTTACAAAGACAAAGATTTCTTAATATAATCATATGATTATGAAAACACATATTTTGAGTAAAACTGTAAAACTATTCTTTACTTTCACCAAAATTGTTGAAGCTATGCCAGAACATATTAAGATGTTAAAATAACAACTACATGTATTATGGGTACTTATTTTTGTTTGTCCTATTTTTTATTGCCCTCTCGAAGTGCAATAAATTTGAATCCGTGAAGCAACTTTGTCTCGCTGGTTCACTTCCCTCAGACATTCGTTACTAAGGTCAACGCATACTGGCTCCCTCAAGCATGATATTTCCTAATTCGTTTAGCTGGCGCTATTAAAGTTGACAAAAACCGGATTTTACTCAATAACTGAAGACTTACAATGGATTTAATTTGCATTAAGGGATATGAATCACTTTCGTTTACCGCAAATCGATTTTCAATTCACCCAACGGTCATTTCAAAGTTACACTTAAAATAATAGAAAATTTGTTATTTTTGGATGCCTGTTAGATCATTAACTTGCACAAAACAAAGCGAAGCGCGAATTTACATATCGGATAAAAAATTTCTATATTAGTTTAGTTGAAATTTGCATTTTTCAGGTATTAAGCAGGGAGTGTCAAGGATTTGAATTTTATATGAAATCAATAAACTTTTAAAGGCAGTTGACTTTTTCATTGCGAATTGCTTGTGAAATTTACGTATACGTCTATACGTTCCTTCTTATTTTAAAAAAAAAGGGGAGGATTCATAAGGACTTGCTAGTAAGCCCGTGCTTACGAAAACTTTTTGGTTGCCATTTATGGCAAAACCGATTACACTTTTAGTAACAAAGTGGGAAAATTCAATTCAAGTTTTTTGTATGAGATCTCGAACTTTCAGGCGGATGGACGAACGAGATTTGCGTAGGTATTAAGGTGGATTAGATTAGATGGATAGGAGGTGGCTAAGAACTCTGCCATCTCGATGATTGTGATCAAACTAAGCATTGGACTTAGATTCGCTTTCAAGAATTCGCCCTCAAAATTATCTCCTCTGTAATATTAGCCTAGGAAAACTCGCATCTGAAATATTCATCATCGGAAAATTGAGCCATGATATTGGAACGAAAATCTAATTACATACATGGTTTATTTATTTACAATTTAATTAGTAATGAATTTATAACAGTCTTCAAGTGGATTAATTTATCACAATTAATTACTATTATTTATCACTCAATATTTATAACATTACGTTTTATTTTTGTTTTTGGGCGTTTTTGTTAATTTCTAAATTTGTTACTTAGAGGACATTCAGATGTGTTATTTGTTATTTCAGTCAGATGTAGCTTTACAAGAATCTTCCAGCAGTCCCTCTTCTCCGGAAATTACTCAATATCCTCCTTCATTTTGCATGGGAACCCTTCTGAATGTTATCTTTCTATCAAAAATACGGAAGCGAACGACAACACCATCTGTCCATCACCACCCAAAATTTTGTAACAGTGACTCATTAACGCGAACTGTAGTCTGAATTTTATTTTTGTTAAAAAATGGGGAAGCGAGCGACAACAAATGGCTTCGAGGTACATGAAGGCACTTTTCACTTTTCATCACCAAAAATTTGGTAACGATTCAGGTCGAGTTGTCACATTGCTGTGTGCAATAACCCACAAAAACCTGCCCGCTAGCTCAAATAAATCAAAAATTGAAACTTATAATTTTTATTAACTCTTCTCGTACACCTCCGGCATTCGCCACCATAACAAAATCCGAATAATAACTCGAAATTAATAATTTAGGAGACTCAGTAACCTCAATTAACTTCCAAAGGAATCAATAACACAGTTTGTTTAATACCCGAGTAAAACATGAGATCGTACAATGAATTCAAATAAACACGCATCAGATCGTCAAGAAAAAAATCTGAAATAAGGACACAAGCCCGTTACATTTACCCCATACGCAGGTGGGCAACACAAATAAACAAAGAAAGTCTTAAAATTACATACTTACAGCCAATTACTTGACAAAATTAGCGTATAAACACGTACACGCTTTTTTTTCCCCCGTCGCAAACAACGGCCCTAGGCTAACAAGCTCCGTTTTTTTCTAATTTTTCAAGAACGCCACTTCCACAAAACCATCATACACCTCTTTCCACCAATTCATATATAACGCCAATAAGGAGCGCTTCCATTACATAATTATGCGCAAAAGAAAATTTGCACCTGTATCCTTTGTTATCGGGGCTGTTATCAATTATCTTTCAGTATAACAATCGCACAATGACCAAAATGCGTTCGACCAGATGTTCCTTAATTTAAACAAGAAATTATGCAATTAGAAACAATTCTAAGATAGCAAAATACACACTAAAATAACAAATTCTGATGAAATAAACAAATTCTGTGCTCATTTATAATGAAATCCTCCAGATTCGTACATACAGGGTGACCCGTTATTATCTTCGGTATTATTATACAAACACAACCTCAAATTAATAAGTGGGTTATTGAGAAAACAATAATGAAATAATTGACAATGAAACGGCAACAGTTGACAATTTAAATGCGAATAGCGTAATCTTAAAAAGAGATAACTACGGTGATTAAGCAAACTTACGTGATAATAAATCTCCAAATATATATCCTCCAAATTGGCAGAAAAAGTGCTAAACTCGATTCTAAAACGACTTCGAAGAATACATCACAACTAGTTAATCGCCAGAAATAATATTTAAAGATTTTGCAATTAGACTAGCATGGCCTTTATTAATACCACACTTCAAAGCCAGCTTCAAAGTGCCAAACCAAGAGTACCACAAATGTAGCGGAAACGAAAACCAATATGCGCAATCCACTCTCCTTTAACAATCCGCCAATCATAATTCGCCACGACGAAATACTATACAATTTGGAAAAAGACAGTGGTCCATGAACAAAAATTTCAGTCATACTCAACCAAAAATAATTTATAAGTAATCTTTGACAAAAGTAATGATCGCCAAATAGGTAAATTCTGCAACCAACATTTGGATATATTGTGCAACTTGGAAATGCGAACCAACAAATTCAGGTATCTCCTCCGATGTGATAGGCATGTTGGTTACTTATATTGCAAGAGTTTACCTATTAAGCGATCATTACTTTTGTCAATGACCGTACCTGTTAGAAACACTAATGTCCAAGAATTCATCTAAAATATAATAAAATAAGTTGGGGGTTATATTTTTGAGAAGAGAATTTAATATGGTATTTTTCCATATTAAAATTTACAGGGTGTTTCATTTAAAAAAATGAGTTAACTTTTACGATCACTTACAACACCCTATTCCTGTTTTCACATAATCTTGTTTGTGTGGACCTGTGGTTGCTATGCAAAACCAAAATCAAATCTCATTTAATTGAAAGTTGATCCAATATTGGTGAAATTTTTGCTAATGGACATAATTTCCGAGATTCATATTCTAACTTTTTCTAATTAATAGTTTGCCGTACTTATGATCGAACTGGCACTTTACCTAAATAAAATTATTCTCAATTGTCAGGGCCATCTTGAAAATATGCTTAAAATTCTTTTATCAGACCGGGACCCCAAAAACGAGATCAAAAAATGGTATTGATCATTACGTATAATAAACTCCATCTGGGGGAACACTGTATTGTAATGCCCCAGTAGAATTTTTTTGAAAAAAAATTATGTAGCTTCCTAAAATACAACATTTTTCAGAATGCGTAAATGGCATATCTTTTAGCAAAAAAAACTTAAACATATGATGAAATATACAGGGTGTTCCATATTATAAAAAAAATCGGATTTTTGTTATTACCCCAACAATGCGATATTTTATTTTTTTAATTACTGATTTGAGTTCAGTAGAAAAAATACACAATTTTGATAATTTAACCGTATTTCTAACCATACAAGTAAGTGCAGACTTAATTTGACGCAGACTGTATGTAGATTACATTAGATATTTTTTCACAAGGCAGGGTCAATGGTTGGTAAGAAATGTATGTGCGGTTTATTTCGTAGAAACTGATGTGCACGACACATTGATCCTGATGTACTTTTAACCTGGATTTTGGAAAAATGGGATATTTTAGGGTACTCTTTTATCTACTTATTCTGAATCTAAAATGTTCAGCCTTCTCTACCAAAATCTTTGAATCTAAATCTATTATTACTAGGTTAGTGGTATAAACGTTTTAAAAATAGAAGGTTATCATGGCCTGGAAAGGCTTCTACTTCCGCCATACCTTTCATTAACACACCAACACTTAATTTCCGCAACAGTTAGAGCGACTTAGATAACCCTATTAAGTGGCAGAGCAAAACGATGCAAGCTTTATAGGGGTGTCGATGGTGTCCGTCTGTCCGTGAACACAATAACTGTCAAACGCTTGGACCGAGTTGATTCAAACTTTGCACCGTTGACCTATATGCGACATGTAATAAGCCTATTGAAAATGGACCAAATTCAATGACCCCGTAGGGTCACGCTTCTCTGCCTCTGGCAAACTCTTGAACCTATTCGGTTCAAACTTTGCACAGTTGAGCTATATGCCGCATGTAACAAGCCAATTGAAAATGGGTCAAATCCAATGACTCCGTGGGGTCACACCGAGATGCTCCGCCGCTTTTTCAGACGCTCTTTATGAGTTTATTAACAGTGTATCTTTTTATATTTGTAGACCACTGGTATCCTACCGATATGTATGGAGTGTTTGGGAACGGAAGCGAAAAATAGCAATGGTTTGTTTGAAAAATTGAGTGCCTGTTCAGGTTGTGGGTCGTGCGTACATGTGTCATGTACAAATAGCGGCCCAGAGCTTGGTTTACTTATAGCGAAAGGAAGCAAATGGTATTGTGAAGATTGTAGGACATGTAATTCGTGTGGTACGTTGTAAATGACTGTGCGTTGACAAACTTAAATACGAAATTTTCAGAAAAAGTGAACGTCTCAACCTGCCTTTTATGTTGTTGCAATTGCGATCGAATTTACCACATGAGTTGTTTAGAACCTCCTCCGGAACGTAAACCAAAGTGTCCTTGGCGATGTCGGCATTGTTTAACGCATCACGAAAGTACAAAAGCAAAAAGAACGAAGTCCGGAACTAACGTTAAAAAGAAGATCGACAAAGTGCGGGAAAAAATCAAAGAGAAAACCAAAAAGTAAGTATCTTCGGTTTATGAGCGCAACCTAACCTCTTCTGGTTTTCAGAAACGGTCTGGAAAACGCGGATGATCCACCGATCTCTACTACGCCAATCCCTAAGGGAAGTTCGCGTAAAAACGCGGCGCCGCAAATTAGCGAAAGTGATAACAGCGATCACGAGGGTACGCCATTCCCCACCACTAGTTCTCATCTCCACCCTTCCGACATTCGTACCTCTCCTACCATTGACCGCCTTGAAACCTCTGACCGCATGTCTAAAGAGAAGCGTAAGTTCTTCAGGCTATCGGCTTTTAATGCCGATAAGAAACGCGACAAAAAAGTCTCACCCGTCAGTAACGGCGACCCAAAAGGTCCGAGCGAAAAGAGGACGGTCTCCAAAATGCAGAAGGGATCGCAAAAAAGAGTTTGCAAAAACACGGAGATAACCGATAAGCTCGTTAAAAAATCCAAAGGTGCTAATGTAAGAAGAAGGCTAATCCAAACCAAAGAATTATTGGAGTCCGATTCTAATTGCTCTGAAAGTACTAAAGTCAGCTCGCATAAAAAAAGTAATAGTGCCAGTAGTAGCGACATTTCAAGTTCAGATAGCGATTCCGACTCCTCCTCAAAACCAAAATCAGATATCGTTAAATTAAATTCAAAATTACCATTCGCGCCAAAAGAGCCGGAAACTTTTGGTTCAGTTGGAGGAATTTGTATTGACAACAAAGACGTATGGGGGTTTGCTGCGGCTGCCGCACAAGGAACGACGCCATTCGACGTAAGTAAATCGGATGATAAGACCAAAAATTCCGAAAATGAGGATGCAAGCGAAAAAGGTAGATCTGCCGGTATAAATCAGCTAAAAGGATTATTCGACGGTCTCTCTCACCTTTTCGCAACACCAACCCTTAATCGCTCTAGGTCTGGAAATTCTCCAAATTACAATCCAACTCGGCGGAAGAAAGAGCCCGAGGTTGTTAAAAGTCAAACTGATTTGAGTGATACAGTTGATGATGCCGTGAAAATGGAAATGGTCAGGGACGTTAAAGTTGAAAAGACTGATGCACCGGAAGTGAAGGAAAAAGATATAAAAGTTGTTAGCAGTGACGGTCTTAAGCAAACGAAAGTCGCTCACTTATCCCACAAATTCCCGCATTCAGCTAAAGTCCTTACCTCCGAGAGTGTACAAATGACACCTTCCAATTTGGTTAAAACGGCAGTTAACTCAAAAAGGCACGAATTAGAACGTAGGAAGTTACTTAAGAGTGAAGCTGGGTTGGATACGGCAAGCCTCTCCAATAAAACATTACATGAGGATGTTCGTATGAAAAAACGAAATCTAATTGCCGAAGCTACGCAGGCAAACCGTCAATTCTCGTTGCTGCCACTTACCAACAATCGCACGGGTAAGATCCGATTCCAACCCAACTACACTTGCTTCCTTTCTATCCTTCTAACGCTTACCTCTACACCTTAAATTTATGGCCACGGCAACAGTAAGTCATTTACTGTCCCAAGTTAACAATCACGTGGAGTATTATTGAGGCACCTATGTGTGAGAGTTGATGTTTTGTGTGTGTTATTCATCACATTTTGAGTGAAACAAGAAAACAATGGGTATGTTT